CTTGAAGAAAAAGCAGGAAAAACAAGAGAGAGGAAAAACTCAACAATCCCCCGAAGCTGCTAATATTGAAGCCGACTCTGACGGTGATGTTCTTTTATCTGTTGTCTCTTCTAATAAGAGGAATAAAATAGAATGAATTCTTGATTCTGGATGTACTTTTCATATGTGTCCTTATAAGGACTTATTCACTACTTTTGAATGCGTTGACAGTGGTGTTGTTTTGATGGGAAATGATACCCAATGCAAGGTTGCAGAAATAGGTACAGTTCAGATCAAGACTCATGATGGTGTTGTCAGAACTTTGACTGATGTCCGCTATATTCCAGATTTGAAGCGGAACTTAATTTCTCTTGGCACCCTAGAGTCTCTCGGGTGCAGGTATTCAGCTGAAGGTGGAGTTCTAAAAGTATCAAAAGGTGCTCTAGTATTATTAAAGGCTAACAGAGTTGGTAGCTTATATGTCTTGCAAGGCTCTGTTGTGACAGGTTCAGCAGCTGTATCTTCTTCAATGCCTGATAATGATGTCACCAAATTATGGCACATGCGTCTGGGCCATATGAGTGAAAAAGGCATGCACCTTTTGAGCAAGCAAGGTCATCTTGGTAAACATGGCATCGGTAAGTTGGAGTTTTGCAAACATTGTGTTTTTGGGAAACAGAAAAAGGTTAGTTTCTCTACTGCAACTCACCGTACCAAAGGTATTCTTGATTATATTCATTCTGACCTTTGGGTGTCTTCTAAGTTTCCTTCACATGGAGGATGCCGCTATATGATGACTATTATTGATGATTTTTCTCGCAAGGTTTGGGTTTATTTTTTGCGGCATAAAAATGAAACTTTCTCCAAACTCTTGTTGAAACCCAAACAGGGAAAAAGGTGAAAAAGCTCAGAACAGACAATGGGTTAGAGTTCTGTAATGGTGAATTTAATGAGTTCTGCACAAATCATGGTATTGCTAGACACAAAACCATTCCAAGGAATCCCCAGCAAAATGGTGTTGCAGAACGGATGAACAGAACTCTACTCGATAGAGCTCGTTGTATGCTCTCAAATGTTGGGTTATGGCATCGGCGTGAACTTTGGGCTGAGGCAGCATCTACTGCTTGTTACTTGGTCAACCATTCTCCACATTCGGCAGTTGACTTCAAAGTTCCAGAAGAAATTTGGTCAGGTAATCTCGTTGATTATTCTAATTTAAGAATATTTGGATGTCCTCCTTATGCACATGTTAATGATGGTAAATTAGCTCCAAGAGCTGTTGAGTGCATATTTCTTGGTTATGCATCTGAGTCTAAGGGATATCGCTTATGGTGTTCCGATTCAAAGTCACGGAAATTAATTCTTAGTAGAGATGTGACTTTTAACGAGGATGCATTATTATCTTCTGGAAAACAATCTGTTGTGTCTTCTTCTACTATTACAGGTAATCTGCAGGGTACTAGCGAGAAGGTGGAGTTGATAGTAAAGCCTGCAGCTCCTAACGTTGATGTTCCATCTTCCTCTACAAATGAATCAACCATTGATGATCATTATATTGATTGTGATGATAGTACCACTTCTCCTATTCATCAACAAGAAGATGATTATTGTCTTGCCCGAGACAGAGCTAGAAGACAAATTAAAAGGCCAGCTAGGTACACTGATGGTGATAATTTAATTGCTTATGCATTGTCTGTAGCACAAGAGGTAAATGATGCTGCTGAACCTGCCAGCTATAGAGAAGTTGTTTCTTGTGTTGATTCTTCACAGTGGCTAGTGGCTATGAATGAAGAAATGGAAAGTCTTCATAAGAATGGTACTTGGGCTTTGACAGAGCTTCCCAAAGGCAAACGACCATTGAGATGTAAATGGGTCTATAAGAAGAAAGATGACATTCCCGGGGTTGAAGATCCAAGATGCAAAGCAAGACTAGTTGTTAAAGGCTTCAATCAAAAGGAAGGTATTGACTTTAATGAGATATTCTCACCTGTTGTTCGTCATACTTCCATTCGTGTTTTGCTTGCTTTTGTTGCTTTATTTGATTTGGAATTGGAGCAACTTGATGTAAAGACAGCTTTTCTACATGGAGAATTAGAAGAATAAATATACATGGAACAACCAGAGGAATTTATTGTTCCAGATAAGGAGCATCTTGTCTGCCGATTGAAGAAATCTTTATATGGCCTTAAACAAGCTCCAAGGCAGTGGTATAAGAGGTTTGATTCTTTTATGATTGGGCAAGGATATTACAGGAGTCAATTTGATGACTGTATTTATTTTCAAAAATTTCCAGATGGATCCTTCATATACTTGTTACTTTATGTTGATGATATGTTAGTTGCTTCACGTGACAAGTCTTTGATCAGGAAATTGAAAACTCAACTCAATAATGAGTTTGACATGAAGGAGTTAGGTGCAGCCAAGAAAATTCTTGGTATGGAGATTCACAGGGACCGTCAAGCTGGTAAACTATTCTTATCTCAACAGAAGTATATTGAGAGAGTGCTTGAAAGGTTTAATATGAATGATTGCAAACCTGTTTCTACTCCACTTGCTGCACATTTCAAGTTATCCTCAGATCTTTGCCCACATACAGAGGAGGAGGTGGAGCGTATGTCACATGTTCCTTACGCCAGTGCAGTTGGTAGTCTTATGTACGCTATGGTGTGCACTAGACCAGATTTAGCATATGCTGCTAGCATGGTGAGTCGATATATGCATAATTCTGGCAAGGATCACTGGAGTGCTGTAAAGTGGATTTTTCGGTATCTAAAAGGTACTTCTGACATTGGTTTGGTATTTGACAGAAGCAAGGCTACAACCGATGATGTTGTAGGTTATGTTGATTCGGATTATGCTGGTGACAATGATAGAAGGAGATCTCTTTCTGGTTACATCTTTACTCTCTGTAATAGTGCTATCAGTTGGAAAGCTACTCTCCAGTCCATTGCTGCATTATCTACGACTGAAGCAGAATATATCTCAGCAACAGAGGGTGTAAAGGAAGCTATTTGGCTCCGAGGTTTGGTAAATGAACTTGGTTTAGCACAAGGTGTTCTTAAAGTATTTTGTGATAATCAAAGTGCTATTCATTTGACCAAGAATAATCGTTATCACGACAAGACCAAACACATTGATGTGAAACGTCACTTTATCCGAGATATTGTTACTGTTGGTAAAATAATAATGGTTAAGATTCACACATCAGAGAATCCAGCAGATATGATTACCAAGCCACTTCCAAATACCAAGTTCCAACACTGTCTGGACTTGGTTGGTCTCTACAGCATTTGAGCGCCCTTCGGGGTTTTATTTGGCGATGAGCAACTTATCGAATTCAAGCCAAGGTGGAGATTGTTGAATATGTGGCTTAAATTTTGGCCACATATCCCTTTCCTTTTTTTGTGGCTAAAATCAATTCTTGTTTGCTAAGTTTTGTCAGGCTAAAGGCTAAAAGCTAAAAGTAGCTCCTAGAAGACTTCCTCATTAAGAATGCATGGAGTGATTTTTTTTTTGTTGAGCTTTGCCTATAAATAGCATTTGTTACACAATCACAAAAGCATTGATTTCAAAACAAAACATAGAGCATAACAACTTAGCTTTAGAATTCTTTAATATACACAAGTGTATTTTGGTGAGAATTCTTGTTCCATTTGAGAAAGTATTTGTGAGAGAAAATATTGTTCTTTATCCTCACTACTATAAGAGGATTTGTTGTACTCTCCTTTTTACATAGTGGAATTTTGCTCTTGAGCGCCTGTGGTTTTTTTAACTCTCACGGGGTTTTTCCACGTTAAATCTTTTGTGTTATTCTCTTGCTTCTATTTTTGTTCTCAATTGATCCGATCTTGTGCTTCCGCATTGTGCTCTATTCCTAACACCTAGAAATTGAACTATTAACCTTTGATCATCTTAGAAATTCAGGAGAGCCTTACGTCACTTGATGTTTATATACATTGTATATTTAATAACGAATGTCTTATTTCCTACACAAATTCTAGAATATTTTATATTTGTTTGTGTTGGTCTATTGTATCTCTTAAATGCTTTAGATTTCTTATTAAAGAACTAAGAACATTTTGGGCGTGGAATCCTATAGTAACAGCACATTTTGTAATGACAGAGAAATTTAAAAGAAATTGCTGAATTATATGGGTGTGAGGCATCTTTGGAAGGTGTTGAAGAATATCGTAGAGTCAATGGAATGCAATCTATTTGCACAACATGCTTCAAAACTGCAAAAATCTCTTCCATATTAATTGATGATGGCTTTGAAGTTGACAAGATGCATTATATAGAATGGCATAAGAGTTTTGTACCTCTTGTTGGTAGAATCTTAAGAATTGAACGTGTGGCAGAGCAAATCCTTGATCAAGTGAGTTAACTATACATGTTCAATTTTAATCTACATTTCCATTCTATGATTGTTGGGTATCCTTTGTTATTTTAGGTTCTTTCTTGTTCTCTTTGTTTTACTTGTTCCAATAACGTTGTCATCTACATATTTTGTTCTTTTCCCTCATTCCGACTATTAACATAACATTGCGGTGTGACTCTGCATCGAGCCACATTTTAATATTATTTTCATTCTATGATTGTTTGGACCGCATCGGATTCAAAAATATTATTTTAATCACAAAATAATTCACACCACAACGATGGCAATCCGCATCGCAAATGGTCGCAATGACCGCAATCACAGTAATCACAATCGTTACTGCAATCGTGACCGCAACCACAATTTAAAACACTGAATTATTATAGGAACAGTTAAACTTTCATTATCAAACTGTTGTTAAGTCTAAAAATGGAAATGGCATGTTTGAAGAAATGAAAAGGTAAAATAAGTGAATTAAGGCTAGTGCTAATGGGAAACAAGAAGCAAGGTTCCATTGTATATTTTCTAAATTACATTATTTGCATTCTTGTATTTTCAATATTTTTCTTGTTCTCTTTAAGCTATTTATCTACGCTTCTAGCTATATTATCTTAATTCATATCCAATTCTATCTGCAGGATTTGTTAGATGGATCTTCTTGGACACTGGATTCATTTATTGAAGTATTTATCTCCAAGTTGAAATCATATCCTTTATATGTTTATCTCTCTATATACACACCACAGACACAAACTTAAATATATGAAATAAGTTATCAGTTATTTAAATTGCGGACAACAGATGCGGTTGCAATATTGCGGGTCATCGCAACCGCATCACACCACAATTGCGGTGTGAGTCCGAATCACAATTGCGGGTCATCGCAGCTGCATCAGACCACATTTGGAATAGACCGCATCGGACCACATTTGGCTGTATCGGATTCACACCACAACAGTCGCAATTTGCGTCGCGACGGCTACAATGAACGCAATCGCATTAAACGCAACCGTTATCGCAATCGCGGCCGCAACCATAATTTAAAATATTTGTGCTTAGCATTATCAAAATATTAAACGGTTTAACTGGGCTCCTTAATATTACTGTTACTCTTGCTGGTGAAATATACGGATTTAAAAGCATAGCTGCATACTACAGTGGCCTAGAAATCAATACAAATGTGACTAAAAAGGATGCTGAGGAGGCTCTCACACAAGTGTTAGCTGGTAAGTTGAACATGTAAAGTGGTTTTAACATGATTTGTTTCATGGTATTCTTATTATCATTCTATACTTTCAGCTGGGAAGCCTGTCTGTGTAGCAAAAAAAGATTTTGTTGACTATATCTTCTTGCAAACTTTGGAAATTGCACAATCCTATGACTTGCCAGTGCAGATACACACAGGGTAATGAGTTGTTTTTAATTGCATATACTTTCATGTATTATTGATAGCTAAATATTTTTGGGGGAGTGTACACTAAAAAAGCTTCAAAGCTTGAAGAACAGCCTGTATAGGTAGTTTTTAGGAGTCTCACATTGGATAACATAGCAAACTTAATGTGGTGCTTTTATGAGTTTCTCCCACCTAATGGACTAGTCTTTTAGGTTGAACTCTCCTCATATACGTAAGTCCTAACAATTAGTGCTTTCATTGAGAGTTGTGCCACAAAAAAGGCTATCTATAGCAATGTTATCAAAAGCGTGCTCCAAAGCGTTGAATCGCACGATTCAACGCTTTTCATGGTGGAAACCGTGTTGAAACGGGCAAAAAAGCGTATCAGTGGCGGCGCGTGGTGGAGCGACGAGGTGGAGCGTTGAATCGCAGAATCGCTGCGCGTTTTTTAGTTGAGGAAGAAGAAGCGGCCGTTTGAAAGGTCTGATGCAATTTTAGGTTTATTTTGACCCGGGTTCTGGCCCACCCATTTTAAACCTAATTTTAACCTAATTTTAAGCCCAACTCGTTTTTAAAAATAAAAAATAAAAATCAGTACAGCTGCTGCCATATCAGAAATAAAAAACCTAACCCTTTCATCTCAAGCCACCCATATTAGAAACCTTTCATCTCTTCTTTCTATACAGCTGCCACATGGGAGAAACCTTTCATAATCATTCACCCATTTCGATAAAAATCATGCTACACTTTATTATTTCATCTCTTCTTCTCAAATCACACAGCAACAACAACAAACCAAAACCTTTTTATTTCTTCCTTAAAAAAAGTTACTGCTCCTCCAACCCATTCTATTCTATTCCCCCTATGTTTGTATTTTAAGTGGAGCTACGCTTCGTATTAAGCTCCACCGCTTCTACGATCCTACCCTACCCTCCCGTTCCAAGGTTGACTCTATGCTTTAACAACCTTGATCTATAGGCTAGATTAAGGTATATTAGTGAATACTAACAAGTGAGTGAAGTCCTGGAAAAGAGAAAGTAGTATCATTGAGTCAGTATATATAAAGTGAAAGTTGTCGTGGACGTCGACCCTTAAAGGGGCAGCAATGTTATATTAGGAGTCTCACATTGAGTAACATAGTAAATTCAATATGGTACTCCTAATAGACTAATCTCTTGAGTTAAACTCTCCTGATGTACTTAAGTCCGCTCTTTGGATTTCTAATCATTTGAGTTTAATAAGACTTCAATTCACAAGGTTAGTGGAACATATACAGCAAAGCAACATAGCATTTTGAGTTGGACTATCAAATTACTAATAGACTAAATTTTCTTTGTGTGCTAGCTTTGGAGGTAGTTTGGATATGAGGCTGTCCAATCCGCTTCATCTTCGTGCAGTTCTTGAGGACAAGAGATATTCAAAGTGTCGATTTGTTCTTTTACATGCATCCTATCCATTCTCAAGGGAAGCATCATATCTAGCATCTGTTCATGCCCAGGCAAACATTTTATAACTTTTTACTCAAATATGTTATTAGATATGAATTTGAATTACTTGTTCACTAGCTGATAACATAGTCTTGTGCTTCAGGTTTACCTTGATTTTGGTTTGGTAATTCCAAAGCTTAGTGTACATGGAATGATATCTTCATTGAAAGAGCTATTAGAAACGGCTCCACTAAATAAGGTGAAAATATGTTATATTTCATATTTATACTGATTATACTCATATTTTGGCATTTCACATAATGCAACTAATTTTGACAGCCAAGTAAATGTTTTTTACCTTTTTTTAAATGATCTTACCTTTAGTTGAGTAAACCTTGCAATGCAGGTAATGTTCAGTACTGATGGCTATGGATTTCCCGAGACCTTCTTTTTAGGTTGGTTAACATATATATCATACCTGCATTTCAAGAATTTATTTAAGTGATTTTCTATTTGTTTCAGTGTCTCACACAGTTAAGTGGTACTTCTTTTATCCTATGTATTACATCCTGGATTCGATAAATCATTGGATTTCCCTAGAATTGATGGATAAAATGTGAGTAAGTTTAAAAACATACTCTTGGAGTAAGTGATCCCCACCCATAAAAAAAATATTATAATAATAATGTAAAAATTGACAACGTATAGAATTGGGTACCCGACACTAAAACTGCTAGCACAAACCATATAACTATGGTTTGACATGCTTCTCTTCTTTTGTGCATCACGCCACCTTGAAGCTATCTTGTTTTCATTTTATCATGAAATATGTCTTGTTTGCTTTTCAACCTTGATATTCACACCTAAGTAATGTTATTATCAATTTTACAGGTTTTGTTTTTTCCATTACATTTTAATTATTTATCATATATTTCTTGGCTTATGAAAACAGTAATGTACTAATTTATTCCTGCTGTGGTAATTGTGAAGATAATTTATTGGCTACTCGGTTCTTGATTTAATATAATGTCTGTATTGGTTTATCTATGTCTATATTGATTAGATGAACAAATTCATTTCACAGGTGCAAAGAAGTCTCGTGAAGTTGTGTTCTCTGTTTTACGTGATGCATGCAATGATGGTGATCTCTCAATTCCAGAAGCAGTGGAAGTTGCTAAAGACATTTTTGCCCGAAATGCCATACAATTCTATAAGATTACTTCATGATAGGATAACCAACCCAAGAAAAGTAGGCACTTCCCTCTCATTATGTTCAGAAATAAAAATTATTAAATAAAGCCCAGATATATATGATATATCCAGTACTTGTGTTTCAGTTTATTTAATAAAATATCTAGCCCATAATATGAGCTCATGTTGGCCATCATCTTATAAGTGTCAATTTGGTGTTGCAATTTATAGTTTGATGTATCACTTACCCTATTGCTTTATGTTGTCAAGGTTGGGATAGGGGGTTAGAATCAAGTAGTATAATATGGATGGGGGAACATATCCTGCAGAGTACACTACCCGATAGGATAGAGATTGCGACACGTAGCAAAAAAAATCTTTAACGGTTATGATTTGAAGTTTTTTCAATAAAGTTTCTTTTTTTTTAAATTTCATATTTTAAAACTTCAAAATTAAAAAATTATATTTCTCCTCATAATTCACTATTGGGTTCCCCAGTATTGGAGAGGAGCTGAAATCGGGTAATATAGGATTATGTGTTCCAGCATACCATGCCACCACCAGCGTAAGACCACCACACAATCATTGGATCCTCAACACCACCTTAATGTTGTTTCCAACATATGATTGTCATTGTTGCCATGGTTGCTAGAATCTTACATTTACTGTTTGGATTGCACGAATTGAACAATTCTACTCGACAAGCCAATGATTCATATCGTGTGACGAATCACTTAAGATTATGAATCGAGCTATTCATGGTGTGTGATTCCATTTAACTGTTACAATTCAAATGACTCTATGATTCATTAATGTTTCTCTTTATAACTTATGTTTCACTATCCTCATCAAACAAAATTAGTAAGTCTTATAAGCTTAAATTGCTAAATGAAAAGGAATTGAAGGAGCACTATAGACACCCTATTTGATCTCATTTGTTCTATACTTCCAAGTTGCAAATAAAATACATAGAGTAATGTTATATCCTCATACTAAATCCTCGGGGATATATCATTTTCCAAATGCATATCTTTCCTCTAAAAGAAAAAATGGTTCAATAATTGAATGGTGAGTCAATTACTTTACCTGTTGAATGACCTGTCAGATTTTCAAAACCTTGAAATTTATGTTCAAGCCCTCAGACCCAATAAACCCAATTTGGGTTTTTTTTACTGTTAAGCCTGCAAGTTTAACTATTCTGTTATAGTTTATTACATCTAAGAGAGTAAATATATTTCAAATAAACAACTACTGAGCTAAACAAGCCAGGTTGCCCAAAATAATAACTTGATCCACAAACCATCCCTTTATAACTCTCCAAAGGTTTCAATTCACAGATGTGTTTTTCTAATGAATCATTTCTAAAGATCGAGAAACAGCCAAATATGACTAGTATAGAATAATAATGCAAAATGTATACCCAAAAAGTGTACCATCTCTATCACAACCAAACTAAATATTTCTCTGATCACAGTGCCAACTCTATTATCATGCCATTGCAGTATCAAGAGCTTCCAGCAACCTCCTAGCATCTGTGCCCAGATCGGGTAGCTCTGCCGGGGTCTGCAAAAAATTATTTTAGAAATTGATGAAGGCAAGAAAAGGACACCTCTTACATTCCTTTAAAATCTATACCTTTCCATATAAGTTGGTCTTTGTGGGAGATGCACCATTAGATAGCAACAACCTAATTACATCAACATGCTCACCTCTTGCTGCATGATGGAGAGGCTGGAAAATGGTTACAAGATGATTACGATCATGGTGTAGAACAAATCAAAAGAAATTCATCAAACTTGGTTGAGGGAGAGTTAGAGATAGGAATTTAGCTGGGCATCGATTATATCAACCCACACACACCAACAAAACAAATTTTATAAATTTCAAGCACACTGCATTATTTTAAGTTAATAACAGGAAGGTTATCTTTTGAAGGATAAATAAATACTCACTGTATCACCCTCAGAATCAACTGATTCGAGCATCCTTTTTATATGCTCTGTATCATTAGCTTTGTTAAATAACAGTTGGACTATCTGTGTAAATCCTGATATGGATATTAAGAGCAAAATGAGATTAAGATCTTACAACAATAAAAACAATCGTTGCAATTTTTAGAATGTGACTTCATGCTACCTCCTGCACAAGCATCATGTAAAGGTATTGCACCATCGTCATCCTTTGCCTCCAAGTTTGCTCCTCTTTCTAGAAGTAGCTACGATATATAAAACAAGATCAATAATTAATGACATGTTGTATAATAGGAGCATATAAAAGCAAAAATAAGCGATGATAATAAACCTGGACACATTCCAGGTGACCATATAAACAGGTCAAATGAAGAGCTGTATCCCCATCCTCCACTGGCTCATCAATACTACCAGTCAAGTTATCTGTATTTATGCAGCACGAGGGTAAACATCAGCAGAAATCACCCCGCATGCTTTAGTGAGGATATATTTACATTTTCAAGAAATAAAACCAAGGTAATGTTAGCAATAGCTTTGAACTTTCCATGGTAAATTATGCCAGCCTCCAACAAAATTACATATTTTCCTCGATTTACCAGATAGACAGGCTCACATAATATTCAGATGACATAAAACAAATAGAACAGTTACCCAATGCACTGAAGTTCATAAAGCTTTGAGAGATCAGAAGCATGCCCTTTTCCCCTTCCTTTATCTTTTCTTACAATTAATAGGCAATTACTACATGCTAACAAGGGAATATATAGTTAAGAGAAAATTAAACTAACCTCCATAGAGAATTAACTCAATTACATTAAGAACTCCATTTATTTTAAAAATTACACCAACCTCCCTTGAACTTTACATTATTGTTGTTTATATTTATAAAATAAATAATATTACATGAGAAGAAAGAAATTTAAAAGAAGAGGATAAGAGATCCTCATGAAAATTAAAGGAAACACATAAAGAAGTTCATGTTATTGCCACACTCAACTCCTTTTAAGAGTGGTGTTCAAATTACACCGACCTCTCCTAAAAGGGAAGTGGACGTAACTATTGAAACAAGAGGGATTTCAGATGTAATTAAGTCAAATCTCAATGAA